CACTCTGCTGGACGGGGAGTGGACTGCTGAGTGACTTGGCTGGGGTACCTCACCTCCACCATCCCTAGCAGAAAACCCGGCGAGTAAGAACCAGAGGAAGGTGTACCCCTTCCCTCTGTTATTCACCCCTTCCCTTTTGTCCTGGGACACCATATCTCCTTCCACACCTGCTGGTAACACTTTTGCTGCTCCCTCCCCTTTTTGGGAGGGTTGGGCAATCCCTTGGCTCCCTGGGTACCTGGTTCTGGGTATGGGGCAAACCAAGAAGCAGAGGGAGGGGTTTGTGTAAGAGCTTGGGGGCCTTTCTACTGCCTTTTATTAGAAGTGGCATAAAATACACACACACACACACACACACACACACCCCCACACCCACACACACATTCTTAGCTAAAAAGAATGGTTATAGCAGGAGGATGGAAAGAGCTCTAGCCTGGGAGTCCAGCACAGGATTTTGCTCAACATTTAGTCCTGTCTCTACTGCATCCCATCAAAGACTGATAGTCTCTTGGGCTGGAAGGCATCTCCGATTGGCCTGTTCCATTGACATGAAGGCAGCAGAGCCCAGAGTTGGGAGGTGATTTAAGCCTGATCCCTGTTGGCCAAATAGGGACCAGCACTCAGGTTTCCTCACTGTCTAATCGTGCTTTTCCCCACATGACTCGGGCAAGTCACTTGTCTTTTTTACTCAGTTTCCACCTGGGGTGCTTGCCTGCTCTTCCTCATAGAGGCTGGGGTGAGAATCCAGTGAAGCCACACATGTGGCGAGTGCTCCATAAATTCCTGTACAAAATGAAGGGCTCCACTGTGGCTAAACGGGGCACTTTCTAGAGCGTTATAATTTCCTGGGGTCGTCCCGCATGTGCCACAAGGAAGGGTAGACACCAGCAGCCAACGGTGAAAGTTTACACCCCTGGCCTGTAGTATCTCATCTCCAGAGTAAACATTTGCTTCACCAAATCTCAGGGTCACTGTTTACACTGGAGGAGGCCAAAGGCCATGGCCTGCGAGATGACCAGAGTTGGAGGGGAAAAGGACTGTGCCTCCCTGGCCCCCCCCCTCCCCCCGTTCAGAACCTTGTGAAGGCTCTGGCTCCAAGCCTGGAGTGTTGCTACAAGCCCAGGCTGGAGCTGACCTAGCAGGGTTAACTGTGGAGCCATCTAGCTATTTTCTGTTGTGTTGGGGGTGCAGGGGACTCTGCACTTTGGGAATGTGCTGCCTTTCCAGCTGCACTGAGGGCTGTTTTCAGCTCCTCGTTTGCCCCCCTCCCCCCACCCCAGGCTGCCCCTCTGGCCCAGGCGGCTGCTCTGGCCCGCCTCTCTGGCCAGCTGCAGGTCCGTAGGCCTTTGTTCCAGGCCCGCCCTCCCCGGCAGAAGCCCTCAGGCTGGGGCCTGGCAGCTGGAACTCACTCCTGCCAGCAGGAAGCCTCTACTGGAGTTGCAGAGGGCCTGGCAGACCCTCATTTCCTCCTGGGAGGCTCATGTTGGGGCCCCCAACTGGCCCCTGGCCAGATTCTCGCACTATCTTTTCTCATCCCCTTTCTTCCCCTGAATAGTTGGATCGTTCTCTTTTTCTTCCATACTCTTGCCTCTTAGCTCTGTTTTACAGCATTCATGTATTCATTCAACAGTTATTTATTTGGCACCTACTATGTATGGGTGCTAGATGCAGGAGACACAGTGCTGAACAAAATATGCAACTATCATTGACCTATGCAGTGGACTTCTAGTGCGGGAATCTGACAGTAAGCAAGGTAAATAATTAAACTAGAAAGCATTGTAGCCCTGGCCAGTGTGGCTCAGTTGGTTGGAGAGTAGTCCTGTGTACAGAAGGGTTGCGGGGGGGGGGAGGAGGAGTGGTCCATCACCAACCCCTGGGCAGCCGTGTGTGAAGGAGGCAACCAATTGATGTTTCTCTCTTACATCAGTGTTTCTCTCCCTCCCCTTTCCTTTCTCTCTAAAATCAACAAAAACATATCCTTGGGTGAGGATTTAAAAAAAAAGCATTTTAGTGATAAGCAGAAAAATATGATCGGGAAGGTGGATGTGAATTTAGATGATGTCTAAGATGGAGTGGCCTGGGAAGCAGCTGGAGGGAGGGATGTTTGAGAGAATGCCTGAAGGCGGTGTTGCCCTTCATCTCTGACTTCCTTTACTTGAAAACCTTCAAGCAACACACTGGGAACTCAGACGCACCTGTGTGCAGATCCCAGCTTGGCAGCCTGTTCGCCCCGTGGCGCTGAACTCCTTTGTGCCTGTGTTTCTCACATGTAAAATGGAGTTAGTCATCATACTTACACGTACGGTATTGTGAGAATGAACAAGAGATGATGGATGTTGAGTGCTTAGCAAAGCCTATCCAGGTGTTCAATAAATGACAGTCTTGTTATTTCTCAACAGAATCCTGCAGGGGTAGCCTAAGATATTTAATGCTAAAGACTGTAGATGAGGAGTTTTTTATTTCAATTATTAGGTGGGAATGGGGAATTCGAGGGAGATGAAAATAGAAATCCTAGTTAGTGAAGCTTTTGGTTGGGGGCAGCTCTGATCCTCTCTTGCTCTGGAATTCCCTGTGTTTTCCACCAGGGAATGATTCACACCTTAATCTCTGGCTTCTCTACTCTGCCTCAGGCTGGAAAGGCTCGCAGCCCCTCTCCCCGGTGTCTTGTAGATAAGTTTGATGGTGTGGGGGTAGGGGGTTGGGAGTGAAGGGGGTGGGGAAATGAGGGAGGGCTGCGGAAGAGCTGGGCAGAGGGAGGGCGGAGCTGTTCTAGGGAGCCTGTGGAGGTGGCTAGAGGATTGGGATGGAGGCTCAGAGGCAGCCTGGAAAAGTGTTTTAAGAAGGTTCCACGGGGGCCAGAATGTAGAGTCACGGAATAGACAGACACTGTGAGATCTCAGCGTCTAGCTGCCCCCTGACTGCTCAACAAAACCAGCTCCCACCCCGCTTCCACCCCGCTTCCACCCACCAGCCCGAGGAGGTTCTACCCCTCCCAGCTGGAACCAGGACCTCAAAGGGAGGGGCCCATCAAAAAGACCGCTGTCACGGGCTCACGGGCTGCGGTGAGCTGTTTCCTGGGGGCCCTGCCGGCTCCGGAAGCGGGGTGGTGGAGGGTGTGGCCCAAGGAAATGGTCATGGGCCAGACCACTCCCCTGGAGAGCCCGCTGCGCGCAGGCCAGCCAGGCGGGCCCTGCGGCGAAGGAACTTGTGCCTGGAGACCAGCTAAAGCGAGATAGGATCTGGCCTCAGAGGAAGTTGCAAAGAGGGCCCTGAACAGCCCCAGACAGTTTTGTCATAGAAGAGAGGAAAGTGGGCAGGGTCAGTTAACCTGTGATTGTACGGAGGCGCGTGTGGAGATGCTGGCAGCCTCTCCGGGGGTTAGCTGTCTGGATAAAGGCTGGTCTTGGTAACCGGTTTCTGCTGTGTTCACCTTATTTTGGTTAGAAGCTCTCTGAGGGCAGGAACGCTGCCTGACTCATCTTTGTTCTGTTCTCACAGACTGTAGAACAATAGAAAGGAATCAGGGCAGCGGAGCTTGCCCTGGGGTCCTGCCCTGAGGGATCCGGGCTTAGTGGTCTCAACTACGCCAGCTTTTGCTGGGA